ACTTCTGATTTTTTGAAGTCGACTTTTATGTGATGAAAGTCGAGTCGAAGTCGGCTAGTTGCTGATGACGTCATTAATGAACAAATAAGTCTGGAGCTGTGATAAACACCTTGTGCACAGCTACGGCATATGACACAGCGCTGCCCACATGGCTATTGCTCCTATAACAGCTAATTTTTAACCGTTCTTTTGCGGTGCATTCTCCAGAATGTGCATTCTCCTGTTCAATTTCGAGCATCCAGTAATATAATCACACATGTCTTGTGGAGCGCTTTCAGAGTATGCATTTATTTGTCATTTTAACTGTTTGGAAATGGAGCGTAAATGTGGAAGTCCTTCAAAGATTTCTTATCCTGTTGCGCCCTCTTATAGGACCAGCGACTAGTCGACGTCAAGCTTAAAGCTTCATGGCAGAGCATTGAAGTCGACTAGTCGGTGCAACCCCTAATATATATATATATATATAATTTTTGAATCGTAATAATATTTCACAATATTACTGTTTTTTCCTGAAACAAACAAATAAATACAGCCTTGGTCATCTTAAGAAACGTTCAGTAAAAATGGCACCAACCTTCCAAATGGTATTGTATATTTACAGTTGACTGTGCAGATTGTCATAGTTTTTTTTCACCAAGCTTGTCGCTTTGAATTCTGGGATTGTCTTATCCACAAAGACAACATGTGATGCTGTCTTAGAATTTGGCCAAAACAAGGTACTTTATAATGAAACACACTGTTGCTGCCTAATTTTTTTCATTGAATCTGTACCTATAAAGCTTTTAAATGCTGTCTATGTAAGTAGCTCATAAGGTTTTGGAACAGAAAAGGTGGCATTCATAAGGTGTAAGATAACAGGGCATCTTTTAAAGCAGAGATGAGCGATTTGTCGACTGAAGGTTTGAGCATCTCACCTCAGCATGAACAGAGATAATGCTGACCAAAGCCTCCTTCAAGTAACTCCTCACACCTGAGTCAGAGAGAACGGGAATAAGAAAAGGTAGATCAATGAGTCATGTTCTTGCTTTTTTTAAGGTTCAAGAAAGTTTAAACGGGGGTAAGGAACCATCTGAAGATGAGAGGAAAATCTTATCAGCTTCTCTTCACAAGTGTGACATGGTTTTGCCTAGTTGTCAGAAATTTGATTAAGTCTAAAATGTCCTCCTCCATACTGAGGTCAAGCAAAATAATCCCCTTTAACATACTTCAAATTTTTAAATTTTTATGTTTACAGTATGTTTATTTATTTTCTTTGCACTGTTAAAATAATCACTTCTTGTTCCTCTACGCGTGTGACATCCACATTTATAAGTCCCTCTAGTATTTAAATAATAATATAAATATCATATGACTTTTAAGGAGCAATTAAAAGAACCAATCTTATATTATTTTTCCAGTACAAAAATATTTGCTCTGTAAGATTTTATATTCTGAATCGATACCATTTTAATTCTTATTTCAAAGAGGTTATTTCACTACAGTTCAAAAGTTTGGGGTGAGCAAGATTCTTTTACTATTTTGGAGAGGCCTCTTATGCTCAACCTAGGTTCATTTATTTGATACAGAAAAAACATTAATATTGTGAAATATGAATACAATTCAAAGTAACTGTGTTCTATTTTAATATACTTTAAAGTGTAATTTATTCCTTTGATGGAAAAGCTGTATTTTCAGCATCATTACTCCAGTCTTCAGTGTCACATGATCTTTCAGAAATCATTCCAATATGCTGATTTGGGGCTCAAGAAACATTTCTTATAGATATCAATGTTGAAAATGTCAAAATATTTTGTGGAAACCATAATACTTTTTTCCAGGATTCTTTGATAAAATTCTTTGATTCTTTGATAAAATATTTGAAACAAAACTTTTGAACTGTAGCATACATTCTTGTGTAATAACATTAGCTTGTCTGTTCTGGAGCTAAATATAATGATTTTTCAAACTGACTGGGAGCTAAATCAGAGCAGTGGTGAAGTGTAGTGGGTTGGTTTTACACAGTTCAACAAGTTCTTCTTATAACATCTCAGAAGCAGGAAGCTTGTAAGTTCACAAATGATTCACATAACCAATAGCATGGAGTCAAGTATGCACCAACACACCCAATCAACATACACACACACTTTACCATAACTGAAACTGACATAAAAGCAATGACGGCAGACTGAAACTGCAGATTCAAGACAAGCAAAAGTGTTTGTGGATCTTTCTCTATTAGCACCATCTCCAGGTTGATGGTGTTTCAAACAGACAATGTCTTCTAGAAACGTCCACAGAGTGCTGTCAACATACAGATTACATGATTGAGGTGTGTGTTACCTGTAGGTGGCAGGCAGTCTTTCCAGTCAAAGTATCCGGCATAGATGCCAGACTCCAGAGAGCCGACGATAGGATCAGATTTTTTCTCGATGTACGTCTCAAACAGATATTCATCCAGCTGTCTTAATGCCTCTATGCTGACCTGAAGAACAAGAGCATGCATTCAGTTTAATTACAAACCACTGATCATACAAGATTCTCTCCTGAAACACAGAAGTACATGTGACCATAAGAAACCATTAACATCACACACTTCTTGCAGAATGAGTAGAGACCACTCATGCATGTCCATCATTTTGATGTGTGTTGAACTTTAGGGAAGTCCTCAAAAACCAGAATGGAAAGCACCATCTCAAAAGGGGACAAAATCTGTGGGAACTCTGTGAAACACCAGAGATGGACATCTGTCCTGACAGATAAGTGTCAATCTTCACTGAGAAGCAGTCCAAATGTTGTTACATATTTTTAAATAGACTTTTATACATTTTGAAGAAAATGAAAAAGCCTTGTCCATGCCGTTTGTGATGCTTTAGAGTTGTGCATGGTGCATGGAATTTTGTTATTTGTTGTTTGGAGTGTTTTATTGTGTTGCTATGCAGTTCCTAAAGTGTCCTTGGTGCTTTGCTAGGGTGCCATTTACTGGGCCAAGTCAAAAGAGCCCATCCTTATGGATATTCTGAGTCCTGGATTTTGCTCCTTTTAAAAGTCCACCTGGCAAAAAATTATCTACAGTCCAGACCGTTCATAAATAGCACAGTTCTTCTTAAGCTGATTTAAGGCCTCTTACCTGAATGCTGCAAAAAAAAAAAAAATTCTAGCTCAATATATATATATATATTAAGTTTATTTTTCTTACCCGATTTGCAGATATTTTTTTCCTTGTTTTGTGCATAAAGTCACTTAATTTTGATACATTGTCCAGAAAACAAGACATAATAAACTTAATTTTGCTTCTTAAGTAAATGTATACTGATTTAAGAATGTTTAGATATTTTAAGCTAAGTTAAGCTAACGGTCACTGTCAGTGTAAACCAGTGTCACTTTATGATCATGTAATAAACCTCTCCTGTGAGTTATCAAGCTCTTATTCAGAGTTAAATCTCTCTGAAAGGTGCAATGCAGATTATTCTCATCATACTTTATTGATCTACACAAACCTGTTGGCCCAACACACTCATTCACTATATCTGCATCGAAATCAACTGTATTTACTGGAAAGGCCAACCATAACCTTTCACGAGGGCTTCACCCTCTCCTCTGTAGGGCACAAAAGCCACCTTAAGTGAGTGTGTTGTAATGCCACCATGAAAAACCCTTGAGCTTCTCCTCAATCTACATGAGTCATTCTCACTTCAGTAAAATATACATAAATTACCACACTTGGAAACACATCTGTTATCACTTAGAAAAAAGAAAATGCCAACTGTGGACTGGAGTAAAAGGGAAGTGTGCATGTGTCTTTGTACCCTGATGATCTTCTCTGCAGTGGTAAAGCCGTTCTTCTCCAGGTGCTCAGCCAGATTGAGAAACGTGTGTCTCTCCAGATACTGACAGTTACTGAGGATGATGAGGAGACGTTGCTCCTACATGAGCCAGAACAAACACACACACAGCAACTGAATCAGTTACAACGAACATACATATATGTATCTAGAGAGAGATTTTTTCCCCTGATACATTAAATTGTAATGATTAGAGTGATTTAGAATGATTTCTGAATGATCATGTGACACTTAAGACTGGAGCTTTGCCATCACAGAAATAAATTACATTTTTTAAAAATATGTTCAAAAAGAAAACAGTTATTTTAAATTGTAATAACATTTCATATAATTACTGTTTTTACTGTATATCTGATCAAATAAATGCAGCCTTGGTGAGCATAAGAGACTTAAAAACATTTTTAAAACATCCTACTAACCCCAAACTTGCACATTTATATACACTTGAACAAGAAATAGCCTGACAGTTTGTGAAGCAGTACTATTACAGGTATGATTGGGTATGTGTGTGCCTTTACTTAACCATAAACCAGTCTGTGAAGAAGAGAGAGAGTAAAACAGAGAAAGAGAGAGACAGGGGAAACCTGCAGCTCTTCCACTGCAGGCTTGGGGAAACCCCATGTGAGCGGCTGCTGCATTGTGCTCTCTGAAGAAAAAGCTGCTGTTTTTCACAACACATGACTCTTGTGCGTGATATTCAGATGTTTGCTGAGTTGCAGATGGAAACTGTGACAAAGCATCCATAACGGAACACAGGATGTTTTCTTGGGAAAAGGGTTCTTAAGAACTAATAAATAACACACACACAAAAAAAGACAGTGGCATTTGAGTGCAATTTTTTCCCCCCCACTATTTGACTACAATATTAAAAGTGGCATTTATTTATAATAAATATAGTGCAGATATTTTAACCAAAATGTCATGTTTCAAATTACAAACCAACATTATATGTATAGTTCAACATCTGCACAAAAAGTATTTGCATACTTTCTGGTTGTCAAATGTTAGTGGAACATGTCCATAAGTTGATGTGATGAACTATACCCGTGGCTGCTCTGCTAGGACACCTGTGCAAACTTAAGGGAACTGACTTCATATGAACACTAAAAATCCCCCTTCATGACTAGTTAGTTGTAAAAATAACTGCAAATATATAAAGAAATGCTTAAAAAAAACCTGAAGTTTGTTCGTCGATGATGTCTAGCATAATGTCTTTTGCAGATGCCAATTTATTTTGATATTTTGTATCTAAAGTAAAGTCATTAGGCCATTTTAAATCTAACTTAAGCATCAGGAAGGGACCAAATATGCTTTGGGGTCACTGTAAACTCTATTTGTGTGGTTTAAACTTTTAATCAAGCACATGTGCGCGCACACACACACACACACACAAACACACACAACATTACTGAATAAGCACAAAAGAAGGGTTTAAATGGAGGGAGGAAGCACTCAAGGTTACTTGAGGTCTCTGAATATCTTCAATCAACAAGGCTTCGTTTTGATAATTTTTAAACACACTCTCTCTCTTTTTCTCAGTCTATCAGGTTTTCAGCTTTCAGTAGTACTCTGACACTGTGGTTCAGATACTACACATCAACACCGTGTTATTTGGATTTCAGTCAGTGTCAAATCATTTAAAATAAAGTGAGAAGCTGAACATGTCAGAGTAGCGTGAAGGCAGCTGTTATCTACACTCACTTCCTATTCTCCGTACTCAAATATCCTGTCGCATAGTGACATCCACCTCTGCAGTTTACTGTGAATAAAATACCACATAAAGCTACTTGATGTAGTAACCAGCTAACCAGTTTACACATACTGCATTTTATTTATGTGGCCATTTTTTGACATTTTATTGACCGTGAAAGTGGATTAACAAAAAAAGTGAAGAGGGGGGAATGTAATGAGTATCCAACGCAAGTCAGATTCAAATCTCCCATATGAGCACCACAGCTTGATGTACTAACTGCTAGGGCACAATTCATATTTATTTTATATGAATAATAAAATTATCTGTATGTATATTATACCTCACAGTACTCTTTTAAATATGCATTATTTGTGGGAATAGAGAGAAAGAACATGGACAAAGCTGGAAATCAGGAGGGGAGGGGGGAAATGGCCTTACTGGTTTTGAACCGAAGTCAGGCGAGGCCAAGTCCACAGACAAACTGAAAGAGAAAAACCTTGATATTATACTCCCACTGTAAACTTAAACATTCAGACTAAACATTATATATATATGGCTCAGTTTTCACAAAAATGAAAAATTCAATAATAAAAAACATTTTTTTTTATCAAATATATTTTTACAGAACTTTACACCACTTGATATTTTTAGAGTCATTAAATCAAAATTACTGTTGAAAAGGTATATATATAATATATACAATAAAACTCACTGAGAGGTGCCAATTTCTCCATCAGTCTTGGTGCTGAGATGCTCAAGGCACTTAATAAAGACCTATACCAAGCAGAGACATACAAATTATTTTTAATCAGCATGGATTATATTTACAAATCCCAACATACACAGAAACCAGAACACAGTACCTTCATGATAGAAACACACTGCTCACAAGATTTGTCTTGAACCACATCCAGATTAAAGATCTGAGAACAAAAAGACAGACACATATAAAACTGATTACGCTCCATATAATCTGCAGTGGAAGGGCAGAGGATGAGTGTCGTGTGAATATTTGTACATTGATCTCTCCAGGTTTACATTCCATGGGCTCCTTCAGAGACTGCAGCATCTGAACCATACACTGCTCAAACTGGGCCGGCTGAAACAGACACACCATTTATCCTTAAGTTTTTGATTTTCAAGTTTTTCTAATGAAATAAACCAGATAAAATATAATAAAAGCATAAAACATATACCAGTGACGTGATTCCTTCATTGTCCACAACCCAGTCTTCTTTTTCTGCAAGTCTCTTAACGTCTAAATAACACAAAGATTAATCAATATAAAATAATCAATAACATTAAATCAATACATTAGAAACTCACTTCTCCCATTCTCTCAATATCAGTATTAAGGAAACAACTTTAACTGGGAAAGCTAGTTTTTTGAAAAAGTATTTGGCTATTAGTTATAACAAAAAAAGTACAAATTTACAGTAAAATACAACAATAATCAATTAAAACTATAGTCAAAATCCTAGTGATAGACAGTAGAATTTAAGTAGTAATTTAGAATTTAGTAGTATTTTGCAAAAAAAGAGAAGATGCAGGGTTTCCGTGCAATTTTGTGAGGTTTTGAAATAGGTTTTGAACAACTTTGGCTACTAAAAATTTAGTTTATACTGCTCCAGATGTTGACTAGCTAGTGTTCACCAATTTATCGATGGTTAATTCTGTGAATAAAACTTTAGTTCATTAGAGCTGTCTTGATAAAACCCTAAAATGACTAATAAGCTGTTTATACTGAACTTGAATGTGAATATATTAAGTTGAGATCTCTAGAGCTCCCTCTATTGTTTTCATCTGGAGCAATCAACATCAGTGATAGACTGATATATCTCGGTCAGCTCATCTTGAGATGATCAGTGTTGACCAATAACCTTATCTGCAAGGCATTTTAAGCAAATATTCTGTAGACTAGTTCAGCAATCTCATGCCATTGTTTGCCTGAAATGAAACCAAGACATTTACAAAAGCGTAAATGTGAATGTGTAGTTTTACCCTCTTCAGTGTGCTGTAGTGTGGTCAGCAGGCAGTGCACACGCAGGTCCTGAAGTAAATCCTGAATCACCTGCAGCAAGTCATTAGGAATCTCTAAAGCTGACAGAGCTTCATGACTTAAGATAAATGCAGAGCACTAATTCCAAGTATGGGTCACCATGGCCACATGTCACGTCACTTTCACTTTCAAAATGAAAATCAATTAAAAACTAGGAAGTTACTCTTATATCTTCATATTGTTAAACCAGCCCTAGCATCCACATGGCTGACATGTTCCCTTTCAGTCGGTCACTCTCGACGTCACGTCGGATGACCGGCGAAATTGGGATCTCGCTTAGAGAGACCAATCTACTTCGAGTGTAAACTAAACGAGCCAATGCACGTTGGCATGCGATCATTGCATCCAGCTGCCGCTGATCACAGCGTGAGTATAAGTAGGCAGCAGATGCAGCGCATATTCAGGTTTTCGCTTCGGAGCTGAGCGATCACATCGTTCTGCTCCTGACTACTCTACTGAGAGAAGAAGACTGAACGAGTTGTAGCAATGCCTGAATCGGATCCAGAAATAACGGCTATGCTTTCCCGAGCCGCTGTAGGGGTAGGGCTCGAATGGAAACTTCCACCGTGTCCCGAGCCCTCAAGGTTGCACGATTGGTTCTTGGGGTGGTCCGCGCTGGTTCTCAGCGCCCCGCCTCGGTGCCT